TTTTGGATTCTCTGTGCGGAAACTATGTCAATTCGACATTCAGATTTGAAGGAAATCGCGGCACTGATTGAGACGGGAGCTTACGCTCGTGAAGTTCGTCGGATTTTGAGGGCTGTTAGGCTGACAATCGCATTGAGGAGGAAGTTAAAGGCTTCTATAATTTCTTCGTTCCTCAATGTTGCTCTTGCACCTGGATCAGAAGCACACACTCGATTATCTTCATATCTCCCAAAGGTTAGCTTCTGTGCTATGTATTATGAAAGACAACTTTTTTCATGCTATTTGGCTGTTTATTGGTACAAAATTTTGAATGAAAACAAACCTTTTGTATATGTAAATACATGAGAGAGCAGTATTGGACATTCCTATTTTTAATTTCCTTGACTAAGCAATGCCTTATGATTTTGAACATAAACTCAGATGATTATAGTACAGATGTACAATTCATCAACTATAAAGTAAATACAGATTTCTTGATGAACAATTAGAGACACAAGCGTTTATTTCATGTATTATATAATCAGAGTTTCTGGATGTAAATGGAATGAAATAAACCAAAAACAAATTGAGAATAACCTTTGATAAATCTCAGCTTAAGTCCATTGCTTGATGATTTTCATGTTCTCTAAAGGATGATGAAAATGACATGGAAGTTGACACCGCATCATCTGCAACTCAAACCACCGTGAAGCATTCCCCAGAGCTTGAAATCTATTGCTACTTGCTTGTCCTAATCTTTCTAATTGATCAGAAAAAATACACCGAGGTCAGCATCTTTAATTTTCCCGTTTTACCCTTCCAAGTTCTACATGAATCTCTATAGTCAATTAACCAAGATCACTTACTATTCTCATGACACACAGGCCAAGTCTTGTTCCTCAGCAAGTATTACCCGTCTGAAAAACCTGAACAGAAGAACAGTTGATGTTCTCGCATCCAGGCTCTACTTCTATTACTCTCTCAGCTACGAACTCACCGGCGATCTCTCTGAAATCAGAGGGTAATACTGTAATTATAGAATTATCTCTTCTTGTTATTCATAATCAGTTGTTTCTTCTTGATTCAAAAGCATGACATTTATTTATCTCTCCAGTAATCTCCTTTCTTTGCACCGTGTTGCTACGTTACGCCATGATGAGCTGGGCCAGGAGACTCTTCTCAACCTGCTTCTTCGCAATTACCTTCATTACAATTTATACGATCAAGCCGAAAAGCTCAGGTCAAAGGCCCCACGTTTTGAAGCTCATTCAAACCAACAGGTAGTACTATAAAAAAAATTTAGTAAATAAGGTGGATAATACAAATCACCAAAAAAAAAAACTCGTAAGTCATTGTAAAATGACAAATTTGCCCTTGTCTCCGTTTCAGTTCTGTCGCTACCTGTTTTACCTGGGCAAGATTAGAACAATTCAACTCGAGTACACCGACGCAAAGGAATCCCTTCTCCAAGCTGCCCGGAAAGCGCCCGTAGCTGCCCTTGGTTTCAGAGTCCAATGCAATAAATGGGCTGTGATCGTCCGCTTACTTCTAGGCGAGATCCCTGAACGAACTGTTTTCATGCAAAAAGGCATGGAGAAGGCTTTGAGGCCTTACTTTGAGCTGACTAACGTGAGTCCCCTTTTCTCAATTTGTGTTACATGTTGCAAAGTTTATTATTATTTTTTTTTTGGTTCAGGCTGTTAGAATTGGAGATCTGGAGCTGTTTAAAAACGTAGCAGAGAAATTCGCAACCACTTTCAGTTCAGACAGAACCAACAACCTAATCGTGAGACTCCGCCATAACGTGATACGAACCGGGCTCCGCAACATCAGCATTTCCTACTCGCGTATCTCCCTTGCTGACGTGGCAAAGAAGCTGCGGCTCGACTCACCGAACCCGATTGCGGATGCGGAGAGCATTGTGTCGAAGGCGATCCGTGATGGTGCTATTGATGCGACTCTAGACCATGTGAATGGGTGGATGGTGTCGAAGGAAACTGGTGATATTTATTCGACAAATGAGCCGCAACTTGCGTTTAATTCAAGGATTGCTTTTTGTTTGAATATGCATAATGAGGCTGTTCGGGCGTTGAGGTTTCCTCCTAATTCTCATAAGGAGAAAGAAAGTGCGGAAAAGAGGAGGGAAAGGCAGCAACAGGAGCAGGAGCTTGCTAAGCATATTGCTGAGGAGGATGATGATGATTTTTGATTGGGATTGTTGAGGTGAAACTTAAAAGGGAAGGGAAGCTAGCTTTTGGCTTTTGGGTTGTGTTCTTGTTTTTACTGTTTTATTATGAAATTAAGTTCTGGGATTCATAGATTTTGTTATGCGTTTTTATATTTTATGTTTGGTAGACTTGTGTTGTTGAATTTTTATGTGGCTACTTCTGAAAATGATTAATTTGCGACGGCATGTTGCTGACCTGTTGTGTAATTTTTTATTTTTATATATATAAGCCATATGGATATCAAAAGGTTAACTTGTGTTTTTCTATCGACAATGATGATGAAACAAAATAATTATTTTTATTTAACGCCCAGATTAGGATCTTCCAGAAAAATGACAGGAATTCTGAACTCGATCTTTTGGTGGCCTTAAAAGTTAGAACAATCATCTCATTTCGTATTAGAGATCAAGGTTATTTTTTGTAAGGTATATGACCACATGACCTTTTAGAATTATAGAAAATGATCAGGATTTTGCTTGCTTGTGAATTTGATCGTCTAATATGAAAGTAGGTCATTTTGGATCGATACATGCTTGTCTATGTGGTCCAACTAATTATTAAAAAAAATTAAAAAAATGTGGTGTTTATCACATCAAGAAATGCAAATTTGAAACTACGAGCTTGTTTGATTAGTTGTCATCTAGAACCGAAACTATGTGTTTGACAGCGAGTATTTGAGAACTTCTAACTTTTAGCTTTTAACGAAAAACTTTGTGTTTGGGACTGACGGTGTTTAGCGTTTAGTTTACCAAAAAATTTCAAATCTATAAACTACTTCATTTAGTGTTTAAGAAAAAACTATGGCGTTTTTTAATTAATTTTCAGATTTACCTTTAAAAATATATTTATATATTTATCATTTTTAAACAGTTGTTATTTTACATAAATTTACGCGTTTCAAAAGCTTTCAGCTAGTTTAGTCAAACGCTCATGTAACAAATAAAATATACAATATTTAATACCTGCTACCAACTAGTATTGTCAAACATGCCCTATGACTCAAAATAGATTACAATAACCTTAGTCTTCTCAAAGCACCGATTGCATATCAATCACCTAAAAACCAAGAAGACAATGTGAGAATTGAAAACCGCATAAAGTGAGTATTTTTGCATTAAAATATGAATTTTGTCTGTGTTTTTTGTTGTAGCTAAAGTTATACTGGTTGCAGCTAGCTTTATGAATTTTGTATGTGTTTAGTTGTAGTTAAAGTCATACCGGTTGTAGTTATCTTTAACATTAGATATAAATTAGTTGAAGTACAATGGCTGAAATGAATACCTCAAATTGAAATACGAAAAACTTGTCTGGAATCATATAATGTTTGCCTTAGAATAATATTTTCACCATCTAGTTGTTAAAACCTACTTATTTGGTTACAATCACAACAATCCATGTTGTCACCTTCGTCGACATAATTTGAAGTGACATGCTTCAAGGTCAAGGCACCACAATATCTTTGATAACAATGTATAGGACTTCATTTCGCAGTTAAAAGAATTGCGAGCCTGATTGTGTAACTTTGAAATCCCATTATCAACTTTAGAACTCAATGACCTTCGATTTACGGTCATTACGTGGATGCCATGAGTCTTAATTACTACGTTTGTTGATGTAAAAAAGCTCATGAATTCAATAAAAAGAAATGAAGCCGCACGTGTGCCGAAGCCACACTAGATATTTTGACTTACAATAATGCTATGAACTTAATTGAAAGTTATATGGAACTCTTTGTTAACAACAATTATTTTACAAATGATCAATTTACCTTACTATATAGAATGAATACGGAGTGGAAATTCCTAAGAATCTTTAGGTGATTTAAATCCTCATCATAAAGATTCTTGATTAAAATCTAGATCATACAAAGTGGAACAAAAAGTTATAAAATATAATAAACTTTAAAGTGAATGTAACTATAGGTGTAAACCAACTAAACAAGAACAAACACAAACAAAAGCTTGTTCATATTCGTTCGTTTAAATTAGCCGAACAAATGAACAAATACAAATGAATAAACAAACGAGTTTTTTTATTCATGCTCGTTCGTTTAACAAATTACATTGTTCATATTCGTTCGTTTATGTTCTTAAACATGCTAAACGAATATAGATAAATAAACATAACTGAACATAAACGAACATATAATATATTAATGTAATCAAACATAATTGAACATAAAAGAAACTTAAATATACGAACATAATCAATCATAAACAAATATAATTGAACGAACGAGATCATTAATCATGTTTGTTCGTTTAACTAAACGAACGGAAATTTATGTTTGTATTCGTTTATTTATTAAATAAACGAACTTCCCGTCGAACGTTCAATTTATTTACAACCGTAAATAATCTTTACAGGTGTCCAAGTTTTGGTAGAGTTTGACAATATATACATACGCCAATTAAAGCTTGGTTTCAAAAAATTCAAACCAAATATACAATTATAAAATGTCCAAATCAACTAAATTTACTTTAATATATTCTATTAATCAAACTGTCCACGCTTTTATCCGGGATAAATTAATCATAAAGCATATCTCACACCATACATGGTCTTTGATGATGCATTTTATTTTTGGTTTAATTTTACCATACATATATTTAATTTTCTTAATTTATACATGAACACTTAATAGTTTAATAATATGGTACTTGCCGATAATTGATTTTCATTTGGTTGTCAACTTTTTATTTTATTAGAAATTTAAAATATAAAAATATAAATATTATTTTAAATTAACGAAAACTATACTAAGTTATGCATTTATTTTGTCGAAAGAAATAAGAAAAGAATTTGTAACTTGGAAGCAAAGCCAAATACACCCCTCAATTATACGATACGACAATCACACACCCACTCAAACAACCAACGGATTTTTCTTCCACACATGGCTACCACTCCTCTCTCCGCCCGTCCCACTCGCGCCTCCCTCCTCGGCGTCGCCGACCGATTCCGTTCTCACCGACGCCCATTCACGACGGCCAACAATCACACAGTCTCAAAACTATTCAAAGCCGATGGACTGGGGCTCACCTCTTCCTCCTCCTCCTACCGGCGTACTTCATTACCAAGATTCGTCGTCCTCGCCGCCGGCGGTGGCTCGACAGCCGACGAATCGTCGTTCGAGATGTCTCTAGATACGGCTTTGAAACTATTAGGCGTATCGGAAGGAGCTTCCTTTGAAGATATACTCCGAGCTAAGAATTCAGTTTTGGCTGCTTGTAAAGACGACCAAGAGTCGATTGCACAGGTTTAGCTAGTTTCCTGCGGTCATATTTCATCGTATTGAGCTTCTATTAGTTGATTATATGGGAAATTCTAAACAGATTGTGTCAATTTTACACGATTTATTTCAAGCTCGGTGTCCTTATTGTTATCCTTTAGGATTTCCGATTTAAACCTGCTTATAATAGAAGAAATATATACGAGGATAGCTGCTTTGACTCGAATCGCATTAAATTTTAAACTTACTGCTCTTAGGCTTCATGTGGTTTCTGCATAATCTGCCATAATTGTGGAAACTATTTATTACAACGAAATTGGAATTAAAGAAGCTTAAATTTGACTATTAGGGCTTAATCTCCATCGGAGATGGATAATTGGCTATGGTTGTTCTCTTCCTTTATTCACTTAACGAGATGTGAATCCAGATAAATCACTGATATTCCGTCTGAAAGAAGCTTAAATTTGACTATTAGGGCTTAATTTCAGGTGGAGGCTGCATATGACATGTTGCTTATGCAAAGCTTATCACAGAGGAGAGCAGGAAAAGTTGTAAATAGTAGCATTCGTTATGCTGATGTCAAACCTGTAATAAACACTCCTCAAATGGGATCAATGCCACAATGGGTACAAGGTGCCATGAAAAATCCACTTGTTTCAGTAGAAACACCATCTCCTCGTGATTTGGGCATTGAAGCAGGAGTCTATGGAGCATTAGCTGTGTTGACTTATGTAAATGGTGCAAATGCTCCAGTGGGTTCTCTTTCAGGTGCTGATGTTCCAGGCCTTATTTTGGCAACCAGTTTTGGAGCTTCTCTATACTTCATGACCAAAAGAAATGTTAAACTAGGTATGTCTCATTTCTTGATTTAATTTTCAGATTATTTGTTAGGTTTTAATTTTTTATAGTGTATTAGTAATAACTCTTTTTTTTTTTTTTTTTTTTATTGTTGATTGAATTGTATTTTTACAGGAAAAGCCACAGTGATAACTATAGGGGGGTTGGTGGCTGGTGCTGTGGTGGGGTCTGTAGTTGAAAACTGGTTGCAAGTAGATATTGTCCCATTTTTAGGCATACATTCTCCTGCAACTGTGGTAAGTGAATTTGTTCTTATTTCTCAATTTTTGGTGTCTCTGTATTTAAGCTAATTAAGCCTCAAAATTCAATATTAAATTACGATATGCCTTTACAAAATTGGTGATCTAGGATATATGATATATTGTACAAAATGGATGTTGTAGAACTTTAATCAGTCAATGGTTTTCCTTTCTTTACCATGGATTTCTATTGTTTCTTCTTCAACATGATTTGATTTATTTTCATATGAATGTGTTGAAGTGTCTTTAACTCTTTTCTAAAAATGGAAGTATTAACAAATTTTAAAATGGGCACTTGTTGAAACAAGTCTTGGGAAATGGGAAATACCGAAATACAATATGCATATTTGAAATCTTCAAACCTAAAGCCGTTAAATAATAAAATAAAAAATAAAATAAAAAATACAACTTTTCGTTTTATCATTTTTAACACTTCTAGAACCTTCTCCAAGTGTCATTGGTGTTCCTCTTTTTTTTTTTTTAGAGGAAATAAGAATACCAGCGATGAATACAATAACAAAACGGTTTGCAAACTCGAATCATTAAACCCATCAAAGTTGTTGTTGGTGGCTTAGTCGGCGTAAATGACATTACTAGAAACTCTTAGTGATTGTACCTCTTGTGGAAGGCAGATTTTTAAATATCTTCGGTCTTCACTTTTCTTTTATGCAAGTATTTGTTTATTAGCAATGTGATACAAGTCACTTTTCTTTTGTGTGTTTCAAAATTCAAACCATAAAATATGAATGGTTTTATATAAAGAAAAAAGAAAAATTGTTGTGAATCACTTCTACAAAAGGTTAATTGTTTTTCGATTTTCTTAAAACAAAAGAGAATACAAGATCGAGAGAAAAATCAAACAAACTGTAGAATATGCCTATTGATTTGAATCCATGAATGGCGAGGGAATCGATGGCAAGCTTCTTCATACGATTGTCTTCAGTGAACCAATGGCAAGCTCCAGCTCACTAACCATGGTTTTTGCATCGGTGTTCTCCTCCATCTTACAGTAACTCCAAAGAAGCTACAAGCAACTTGATTGACTATGCCCCCTTATTGTTTCGTGCAAAATTCTTAAACTCGAAATTCCCCGTTAATTTTCAAGCATGAAGATTATACATGGCTTAAATTCTCAAGCTTTATTGGTGCAAGTCAATCACTTTCTTTTTTTTTTGCCCGTCAAGTGTGCGATAAAATATCTAAACGAGTTTTTCAAGTGTTGTAGCCATTTTAGGACTCAAGAAGATGTCAAGTTTCTTCCTAGTGTTGTTTTTCATCGTGCACTTCAACCTTTTGCTAGAGTCTCACATTTTTCTTTGGATTTCTGCTTCTCATTTCGAGTCTCTCCTTGAGGCTTTAATAAGATTTGTTTGTATATTTATGACGTCTTCTGAGAACTTGGCCGTGTCCTTTTCCAGGGGTTCCATTATTGCCCGAACGGTGAAGTAGGCAGTAAGGGGTTTCTCGTATGATTTCTCATATCAAGAGTTTGCATGTCCTTATGGATGAGTGTAGAGCTGTGTTGCGAGAGACTATTTCTTTAGACCATTGATTGTTTATGTGAGTGACATCAACATTGAAGGAGTTTGGTCAATGGATATGTGAGGCATGTATGAGTCTAGCCGTTTGTGTCGCCATGCAGATGGTCTTGTTAAATTTAATGGCGAGGTTGATGACACGAGCGGACATATTATTGGTATTCAAAAGCTACCACCCAATGAACTGAAGGCCGACCTCAACATGGGGTTAGTGTTGGATGCTCAACTCCTTGATGATGAGTTTAAGCTACCTATCGTCACAGTAAAAAACATCCCCTATGACTTTTTCTCAGGCATTGAAAGCAACCATTTTCAAGGTGGCTGCTCATCATGGGTCTATTGAAGCGTAAGTTACATTGTTAATTCTTCATTGGTGTACTCTTCAGGTGTTCAGGCCTAAGAATAGGCAAGAAAGTAGGTCTAAGAATAGGAAGTCCTTGCAACATCTTAATATCATAAGCCTATTCCTTGAAGGTCCTTCTTCACAAACAAGGAAGCATAAAACTCACTCTAAAAGCTTAAAATGGTCAAAATAAACTAGGGTTTGCAAGGAGGGTCGATCTTGGGATGTAGGTTGATAAAGGGAAAGGTCTTGGGTCCATAATGGTGTTTAAATAGTGCACAAACCTAAATATTAGGGTTTTGGTCTGAACCACGTACGCCCATCGTACAGGACTATGCGCAGTGTATTGGCTCAGGGCTTAGTACGCCCAACATACCAAGGTGTACGCCAAGCATACTCAAGCTGCACCCAAAAGTCACAAAATTGCCCTTCGAGACCCATTTTAGAAACATTTCATAACTCAATGGTCAAAAAGCAAATACCTGCAAAAATAGATGTTACATGGTTGGTCATTTACTTCATTCGTTTCATCATTTCTTCAAAATTCAGGCACCTCATCATCATTTTTATTCGTAAACTGTGAATATGAAATTAATCTTTTTTGTGTTATCAATCGAACTTATTATCTCATTATCATTAATCAATTTTAGATCTTGGTTGAACATGTTTATTATTTGCGGTTTTAGGATTTTTATCCCCCCCCCCCCCCCCCCCCATCGTATTCTTCACTTTCCAGGATCTGTCATATTTATGTTTGTTTAATCATTTAGATCTTGATTAATGGCTTTCAATTTGTTGTCGATCTTTATGGTAGTATCGATTTGGATGTTGGACAAAGTACGATGATGCTTTGATACCATGTGTTTGATTTGAAATGCTAGTTTGTGTTTAGTAGGTTGACTCCAAGAGGACATATTGGAACAAATTTCACTGTGTCGATTCGGTAGACCTATCATTAGGGTAGGTTTGAAGCGAATAACCCTTGATCCAAACCCTTTTAACAACTTTGAAAACCTGATCCGCCCCTCTGCAATAGCTGCAAGGTTTTAAATAATTGAATCCATACTCATATCCACCGAATCGACGAATATCAAATTGATTAACTCAACCCTTTTATAACGTTAAAACTACATAATTTTGATGTGTGTCACAAAGTAATATTTCTCAAAAAAGATAAATGCCCTTTATAATAATAATTACATTACTTAATACTCAAAACTCATTAACATAAGAATTACATTACTTAATACTCAAAATCAAATACATTAAGCATTACCTTTTAATTAGAGATCGAGTTGCATATTTTTTTGTTTCCTTGAGGTTAGTCAATCTTGTGTAGTCACCAAAATCATTACAATTTAAAGTAGCATGGAGGAATGACTTTATCAATTATTTTTCCTACAACAATAAATGCAACCTCAAATGCAACACTAGTTGTCAAAATGAATAAAATGTCTTGTAGAGATAAAGAATGTTTAAGTATTTTACACACACACACACACACACACACATATATATATATATATATATATATATATATATATATATGTATGTATGTATATATATAGAGAGAGAGATAGAAAGTGATGGCGGTAATTAAATGGGGCAGGTTGTAAATGGAGCGAATCGAGAATGATCCATACCCTACCCATTTAATAAAAGGATAAACAGATATGGGTTGTAAACGGGTAAGTGGTTCGAAAATTAAAATCTAAACCTGTAAAACTCTCATGGCTTTGGAGCGAATTAGGGTCAAAATCCACCCCATTAACATGTCTACGATTTAGTGATGCTTTAAAATATGGTAATGGATTTTCAAATCGAGTTGATAATGTTTTTTATGGGTACTAATTTGATTTAACGGGCTTCGAGTTGGTTTGATTGAGATTTTGATTTGATTGAACTGGAGTTTTCATCGAAGGAGTGAAGGTTGATCGAAATGGTTTCGTTGATGATTTGATTCAGATGGATGAAATGAAGTGGGTCTTGATCAAGTAATGGATTTTCGATGATGAACGTGATTTCAAAGAACATGATCCGATTTTTGTTGTTTAAGATGACTATTTTGATGAAGGTTCATTTCTGATCAAGTCAATGGAACTCTGTTTATTGGAAAGGTGTTTCAAATGGAAAGAGGGGTTGGATTTCTTGATTCTCCTAATTGCCATGTACCGGAGCACAAATACCTACAAAGGTTATGATTGATAATCAATTAGGAATGTGGGGGTGCAATTTTGTTTTGTCACCATACATAAATATACACACTAAGGCTGGAGGAAGAAGAAGACAAGCAAATTTGCATTAGAGAGAGAGAGAGACCACCACAAGCGGGAAAAAGACTTTTCATGCTGGATCTAAAACTAAAGTGTTAGTCATAAGGACTAATGGTGATCCAAAATCTATAGTTAGGGTCCATTTGTGTAGGAAAAGTTTCATAAGGACCGTTTGAGAGAGATTTTTTAAACCACAAGGGACATTAGTAACGATGTCAACGGAAACAAACGGGAGCGGAAATAGCTTCCTCCCCCCCCCCCCCCCGGTCCGTCCCCCGGATCCCCCGTTTACATAGCCCCCGGTTACCTCCATCGCCCCCGTTCCCCCGGTTCCTTCGGTTTATATGCTTAAAATTCGATTTTTTTTTCTTCTAAAAAATTGATTTATTTTAGGGCAAAAATATTATTTTTAATAACTTTAAAAGCTTAAAACATAATCTTTTATAAACTAAAAAAAATTAAAAATCCAACATTACGAATCCAGCATTACAAAACGACAATTTCAACAATCTTGCAAGTATAAAATACGACAAATCCAACATTACAAATATAAAATACTTACATGTCCAAAAATATATGATCAGTTAACTACATCATCAATATCTATTAATTGGAAACGGAAATGTAAAACCTAACCTAAACCTAAAATTAGAAAGTCTATTTTGTATATATGTATTTTATATTAATATATATTTTTTACATAAATGTACAATTGAGACCCCCGTGAGAGTACGGGACAGAAATACCAACTCCCGAAAATAAACGGGGTTTAATTTTTCCCGCGCCCCCGCTCTTGCTTCCGATTTAAAAAAAAAAAAAAAAAAAAAAAAAAAAAAAAAAAAAAAAAAATAGTCCTGTATGGTATCCGGATCCCACGCTACGGGATTTTTGACAAATTTTTTCCTATATGTAAAATGGGTGTACATGTCTCGATATTAATTCACCCTAAAAAGTGTGGAGCCAAAAAATTTAAAGTACATTAAAGTTAACCAAATTTAAAACAATAATATTCTTATAATATATTGTTTAATTTAGAATCAGAAAATAAGTTTTATA